GGATTGCTTAAGAAATGTAATGGAAACAAATTGAATTTAAAGAAAGGAAGGAAAGAAGGAAGGAGGGAGGGAAGGAAGGAAAGGAAAGGAAAAGAAGAAAGAATTATCCACCCATTTTGGCATAGGGCTTTGAATATTTAGCTCTCAAAAGCCAGACTTTGGATATCTAGATAGTCAGTCCACTTTGCTGTGCTGAATTACAGTTCTTCTTCGTGGCCTCTGTGAATCACACTGTGGGTAATCCATGCCTGCGCAGAACCTCATTGGACATTCTAGGCCTCCAGAACATGGCCAAACAGCCTGAAAAACCTACAACAACTATTGAATCCCGGCCGTGAAAGCCTTCAATAATACTTTCCAATATGTCTGGATTTCTTAAGAAATGTAATGGAAACAAATTGAATTTAAAGAAAGGAAGGAAAGAAGGAAGGAGGGAGGAAAGAAAGGAAAGGAAAGGAAAAGAAGAAAGAATTATCCACCCATTTTGGCAGAGGCCTTTGAATATTTAGCTCTCAAAAGCCAGACTTTGCATATCTAGATAGTCAGTCCACTTTGCAGTGCTGAATTACAGTTCTTCTTCGTGGCCTCTGTGAATCACACTGTGGGTAATCCATGCCTGCGCAGAACCTCATTGGACATTCTAGGGCTTCTGCAGTAGCAAAAAGATACATTAGTGCAGACTATCTGCCCCTCAGTATATGTACCTTGGTGCCAAGGCTCTCCCTTCAGGTTCTTTCAACTGCCACGTTGAGAGCCTTTATCGTTCCTTCTGCATGAAAACTGAAAGCGAAAGAAAAGGGAAATTATTCAATTCTCTTAAATTTTATCCTTAATATAACAGTGATTACTAATATTGTATTTGCAGACTAAGAAGAAATACACTCCGGCCTTAGGGCTGAAGCAACTTGGTGCCAAGGCTCTCCCTTCAGGTTCTTTCAACTGCCACGTTGAGAGCCTTTATCGTTCCTTCTGCATGAAAACTGAAAGCGAAAGAAAAGGGAAATTATTCAATTCTCTTAAATTTTATCCTTAATATAACAGTGATTACTAATATTGTATTTGCAGACTAAGAAGAAATACACTCCGGCCTTAGGGCTGAAGCAATTCTTCCCCCTCCACCACCCCCCCGTAACTGATCTTCAGTTCATGGCCTCTTTTGGCTCATTTAAGCACTGCGTGACCTGCAATAACAAGATTCCACTCTCAGGTGGCCACGCTAAATGCCTTTTTTTGCCTTGGCAAGACTCATCAAACCTCATCATGCCCTCATTGCAAAAACTTTAAACGTGGGATTTTCAGCAGCCGTCTTTTTTTGGCTTAAGCTTCGGCTCTGGGACCAATCTTCCAGCTGGCTAAACCCACAGCCTCCCTGCAAGTCCATATCCCATGCTAAGGCTATGGACAAAGCAGTTTCTGAGGTGGCAAAACAGCGCCCGTCAGCTACTCCATCTCACTCCGATTTTGTGCTCTCCACATTCACAGTCATGCGAGTGCATAAAACCAAACAGTTGAAGTCACAGCCCTCAACATCGAAGACAGCACTAAAGAGGAAACCGTCCATGGATGCTGCCTCAGCACCTGAACCTTCGC